ATAACATTAATTAATGCAATTTTCCAAACTTTCCTTGTCTTCTATCTTGGTATGAGAGCCAAAGGTTTGAATCTAGAGGCCTCCCACCGTGCTTCTTGTGTCTCCAGCTAGTGGTCGGAATCGTAGCCACCCGTCGGGTCCCGCTGCCTCTTGTTTAATTTAGCTTTCCATTCATATGCCTTTTTTTAGCCAATTCTATTTTAGCTTTTATTTGGGTTGGAAAATGCAGAACAGGGGAAACCCGGCGATGGAAGAAGAATTGTGGAAGATGGCGAAGGTGATTGATTTGGACGGCTATTGGATATTGATTTAAACATGTTTATTGATTTGAAAACAAATAGGGTTTATTTGGAAAAGGTTGAAGAGGATCCGAGACATGCATCTATGATTTTTAACGTAGATGGGAACGGGTCCATCGCACTAGAAGAGTTGGAAAAGGTACTCAGAATTCTGGGGGACGATAAGTGTTTGATCGCCGACTATAAGAAGATCATTCGTGGGGTTGATTCCGATGGAGATGGGTTGGTACGTTTTGAAGAGTTCAAGAGTATGATGATGGACACGTGCTCTCCTGATCTGTCCTCTCCAATAACATCATCACTTCAAACATTATTGAGGACATCATCAATACCGAACTCATAAAAAGTTCTTTTTTAGGTTGCCAACGTTCTAGGCGTAGGGTACCTACCTCCCTTCCAACGTCTCGAGCTCATGCGTCCTTTCACCGAGCACTTGTCATACTCTAAAAGGACCTTCCCAATTCGGTCCTAACTTATCTAGATCGGTCTCAAGCACCATAACTTTCTAAAGTCCAAGATTGTCAATTCGGAAGTATCGTATCTTGACTCGGGAATTATAATAACAGGCTTCTAGCTTTTGGTATGTCGCAGTCCGGATATATTTATGGGCTGTTATGATAAGGGTGATTAAGAGTTCTTAACAAGATACAATTTGTTATGTTATGATAGAGCTTGAGATGGATTAAGATAGACTACATAGAGTCCTACATAGAGTCTAAGAGTTTGAAATTCAATAGGTTTGATATATGTTTCAATCTATAAATATGATGTAATTATAACACTCATTAATGCAAATTTTCAAAATTTCCTTGTCTTCTATCATGGTATGAGAGCCAAAGGTTTGAATCTAGAGGCCTCCCACCGTGCTTCCTATGTTTCTAGCGGGTGGCCGGAATCGTAGCCACCCACCGGGTCATCGTTGTTTCATGTTTAATTTAGATTTCCATTCATTTCTCATTTTTATAGCCAATTCTAGTTTAGCTTTTACTTCGGTTCGATAATAAAGAATTTAGGAAACCTGGGAACAGAAGAAGATTTGTAGAACATGGGGAAGGTGGTTGATTTGGACGATAATGGGTTTATTGATTTAAACAAGTTTATTGACTTGAAGACGAATAGCGTTGATTCGGAAAAGGTTGTAGAAAATTTGAGACACGCATCTATGATATTTAACGTAGATGCGAACGGTTCCATAACACTAGAAGAGTTGGAGAAGGTACTCAGAAGTCTAGGGGACGATAAGTGTTTGATCGCAGAGTATAAGAAGAACATTCATGGTGTTGATTCCAATGGAGATGGGTTGGTAAATTTTGAAGAGTTCATTAGTATGATGATGGACACGCACTCTCCTGGTTCGTCCTCTCAAATAACATCATTGCCAACGTCTCGAGCTCGTGCATCCCTTCACCGAGCATTTGTCATACTTTATAAGGACCTTCACAATTCGGTCCCAACTTACCTAGATCGGTCTCAATCATCATAACTTTTTAAAATCCAAGATTGTCAACTCAGAAATAGCGTCTCTTGACTCTGGCATTATAATACCAGGCTACTAGCTTTTGGTAAGCCGCAGTCCGGATATATGTATGGGCTGTTATGATAAGGGTGATTTGCAATTCTTAATCAGATAGAATTTGTTATGTTAGAATAGATTTTGATATGGATTAAGATAGACTATATACAATCCTACATAGAGTCTAAGAGTATGAGTTTGAATAGGTTTGATATCTGTTTCAATTTATAAATATGATGTAATTAAAACACTCATTAATGCAAATTTTCAAACTTTCCTAGTCTTCTATCATGGTATGAGAGCCAAAGGTTTGAATCTAGAGGCCTCACACCGTGCTTCCTATGTCTCTAGCGAGTGACCGGAATCGTAGCCAACCGCTGGGTCCTCGCTGTTTCTTGTTTAATTTAGATTTCCACTCATATCTCTTTTTTAAAGCCAATTCTAGTTTCGCTTTTAATTGGGTTCGATAATGGAGAACTTGGGAAACCCGGTTATGGAAGAAGAGTGGTAGAAAATGGCGAAGGTGGTTGATTTGGACGGCAACTGGTTTATTGATTTAAACAAGTTTATTAACTTGAACACAAATAGGGTTCATTCGGAAAAGATTGTAGAGGATCCGAGACACGTGTCTATGATATTTAACGTAGATGGGAACGGGTCCATATCACTAGAAGAGTTGGAGGAGGTACTCAGAAGTGTGGGGGACGATAAGTGTTGGATCGCAGACTATAAGAAGATCATTCATGGGGTTGATTCCGATGGAGATGGGTTGGTATGTTTTGAAGAGTTCAAGAGTAGGATGATGGACACGCACTCTCCTGGTTCGTCCTCTCCAATAACATCATCACTTCAAACATTATTGAGGACATCATCAATCCCGAACTCATAAATAGTACCTTCTTAGGTTGCCAACATTCTAGGCGCAGGGTACATACCTCCCTTCCAACGTCTCGAGCTCGTGCGTCCCTTCCCCGAGCACTTGTCATACTTTATAAGGACCTTCCCAATTCGGTTCCATCTTACCTAGATCGGTCTCAAGCACCATAACTTTCTAAATTCCAAGATTGTCAACTCGGAAGTAGCGTATCTTGACTCGGGCATTACAATACCAGGCTACTAGCTTCTGGAAAACCGCAGTCTGGATATATTTTTGGGCAGTAATGATAAGGGTGATTAAGAGTTCTTAATAAAATAGAATTTGTTATGTTAGGATAGAGTTTGAGATGGAATACGATAGACTACATAGAGTCCTACATAGAGTCTAAGAGTTTGAGTTTGAACAGGTTTGTTATCTGTTTCAATCAATAAATATGAAATAATTATAACACTCATGAATGCAAATTTTCAAGCTTTCCTTGTCTTCTATCATGGTATGAGAGCCAAAAGTTTGAATCTAGAGGCCTCCTACTGTACTTCCTATGTCTCTAGCGGGTGGCCAGAATCGTAGCCACCCACCTAGTCCTCGTTGTTTCTTATTTAATTTAGATTTCCACTCGTATCACTTTTTTATTGCCAATTCTAGTTTTGCTTTTATTTGGGTTCAATAATGGAGAACTTGGGAAACCCGGCAACGGAAGAAGAGTTGTAGAAGATGGCGAAGGTGGTTGATTTGGACGGCAATTGGTTTATTGATTTAAACAAGTTTATTGACTTGAACACGAATAGGGTTCATTCGAAAAAGGTTGTAGAGGATCTGAGACAAGCGTCTATGATATTTAACGTAGATGGGAACGGATCCATATCACTAGAAGAGTTGGAGGAGGTACTCAGAAGTCTAGGGGACGACAAGTGTTTGATCGCCGATTATAAGAAAATCATTCGTGGGGTTGATTCCGATGGAGATGGGTTGGTAAGTTTTGAAGAGTTCAAGAGTATGATGATGGACATGCGCTCTCCTGGTTCGTCCTCTCCTATAACATCATCACTTCAAACATTATTGAGGACATCATCAATCCAAAACTCATAAATAATACTTTCTTAGGTTGCCAACGTTCTAGGCGCGGGGTACCTACCTCCCTTCCAACGTCTCGAGCTCGTGCTTCCCTTCACCGAGCACTTGTCATACTCAATAAGGACCTTCCCAATTCGGYCCCAACTTACCTAGATCGGTCTTAAGCACCATAACTTTCCAAAGTCCAAGATTGTCAACTCGGAAGTAGCATTTCTTGACTCGGGCATTATAATACTAGGCTACTAGCTTTTGGTAAGCCGCAGTCCGGATATATGTATGGGTTGTTATGATAAGGGTGATTAGGAGTTCTTAATAGGATAGAATTTTGTATGTTAGGATAGAGTTTGAGATGGATTAAAAAAACTACATAGAGTCCTACATAGAGTCTAAGAGTTTGAGTTTGAATAGATTTGATATATGTTTCAATCTATAAATATGATGTAATTATGATACTCATTAATGCAAATTTTCCAGCTTTCCTTGTCTTCTATCATGGTATGAGAGCCAAAGGTTTGAATCTAGAGGACTCCCACCGTGCTTCCAATGTCTATAGCGGGTGGCCGGAATAGTAGCCACACGCCGGGTCATCGCTGTTTCTTGTTTAATTTAGATTTCCATTCATATCTCTTTTTTATAGCCAATTATAGTTAATCTTTTATTTGGGTTTGATAATGGAGAATTTGGGAAACGCGGTGATGGAAGAAGATTTGTAGAACATGGCGAAGGTGGTTGATTTGGACGGCAATGGGTTTATTGATTTAAACATGATTATTGACTTGAACACGAATAGCGTTGATTTGGAAAACATTGTAGAGAATTTGAGAAACGCGCCGAGGATATTTAACGTAGATGCAAATGGGTCCATATCACTAGAAGAGTTCGATGAGGTACTCAGAAGTCTGGGAGACGATAATTGTTTGATCGCAAACTATAAGAAAATCATTCGTGGGGTTGATTCCGATGGAGATGGGTTGGTAAGTTTTGAAGAGTTCATGAGTATGATGATGGACACGTGCTCTCCAATAACGTCATCACTTCAAACAGTATTGAGGACATCATCAATCCTGAACTCATAAATAATATTTTCTTAGGTTGCCAACGTTCTAGGCACGGGGTACCTACCTCCCTTCCAACGTCTCGAGCTCGTGCGTCCTTTCACCGAGCACTTTTCATACTTTATAAGTACCTTCCCAATTCGGTCCCAACTTACCGAGATCGTTCCGAAACACCATAACTTTCTAAAGTCCAAGATTGTCAACACGGAAGTAGCGTCTCTTGACTCGGGCATTATAATACCAGGCTACTATCTTTTGGTAAGTCGCAGTCCGCATATATGTATGGGCTGTTGTGAATAGGGTGATTAGCAGTTCTTTATAAGATATAATTTGTTATGTTTTGATAGAGTTAGAGATGGATTAAAATGGACTACATAGTGTCCTCATAGAGTTTAAGAGTTTGTGTTTGAATAGGTTTAATATCTGTTTCAATCTATAAATATGATGTAATTATAAGATTAATTAATGCAATCTGACAAACTTTCCTTCTCTTCTATCATGGTATGAGAGCCAAAGGTTTGAATCTAAAAGCCTCCCATCGTGCTTCCTATGTCTCCAGATGGTGGTCGGAATCGTAGCCAACCGTCGGGTCCCCACTGCCTCTTGTTTAATTTAACTTTCCATTCATATGTTTTTTCTTTTATTCAATTCTATTTTAGATTTTACTTGGGTTGGATAATGCTGAACATGGGAAACCTGGTGACGAAGAAGAATTGTAGAAGATGGCGAATGTGATTGATTTGGACGGCAATGGGTTATTGATTTAGACATGTTTGTTGAGTTGTACACGAATAGGGTTCATTCGGAAAAAGTTGTAAAGGATCCGAGACACGCGTCTAAGATAGTTAACGTAGATGGGAACGGGTCTATATCACTAGAAGAGTTGGAGGACGTACTCAGAAGTCTGGGGGACGATAAGTGTTTGATCGGAGACTATAAAAAATCATTCGTGGGGTTGATTCTGATGGTATGAGAGACAAAGGTTTGAAGCTAGAGGCCTCCCACCGTGGTTCCTATGTCCCTAGCGGGTGGCCGGAATCGTAGCCACCCGCTGGGTCATCGCTGTTTCTTGTTTAATTTAGATTTCCATTCATATCTCTTTTTTATAGCCAATTCTAGTTTAGCTTTT